AAGTACCCCCCCCCCCCCTCCCAGGCATCCATGACATGGTCTGAGAAATTTGGGGAAAAAATGACAAGCTGACTGTTAGAATACGTGCTCTGTTATCACGATTATCTTTTGTTAATCTCTTTGTATAACCACAGTGTAATCCGCTTTAGTTATCGCTTTTCTGTTATACCCCAAGAATGTCACTTTGGTTTGCTACGTAGATCCGTTAAAGACACGCCTTGTTAATTATGCATATAAATATGATTGACCAAGAGAAATAAAATCAGTGTTGTTACTTCTACTTGAGTGATACGTTATCTTGTGTGAATACTATGGCGGCATCGCTCAGCCTAACACTGACATATACAGTTACTAGGGAGATGCATTGGCTCATTTGACACTACTATAAATAGGGATGATTAAACCTATAAAATTCTAGTAATTTTACTACAGGTTACATAAACCTTGCTGTCATGTTTAGTTAAGTTACTAATTTATTCAAGTTAATTTGGCAAACAATTACGATCCTTTAGGCCGGTGGTTTGTTGACTGAAAGACTCTGGGAAGATTGATGATGAGAACTTCAAATGTTTGCTATTGTTGGAATGAGTCATGACTAACAGTAACACCCCAATTTTCTCTGTTCCTTTGCAAATGAATTGCACTTGATTTACATATCAAAAAATTAAAATCAAGACTTCCATTTTCATGCAGAATGTTCCTCGTTGCTTTTCATTTTTACCAAATAACGACCCTTCTTAAATTATCATAATTATACATTGGCAGATCAGTTGTTACTACTAATTTGGATCNCATAGATCCGCTAAAGATATGCCTTGTTAATTATGCATATAAATATGATTGACCAAGAGAAATAAAATCAGTGTTGTTACTTCTACTTGAGTGATACGTTATCTTGTGTGAATACTATGGTGGCATCGCTCAGCCTAACAATCTAAGTGCTGGAAACTGTTTTGAGCCACCTGAATTGTCATTTTTTTTTTTTCAGGATTTTACTGGATTCATGTTTAAAAAGAAAGATTACATGTTTGTTCTTGAAAATGTAAGTTGCAATGAATGTAGTCAACCATAATTGTTCTTTGCACTGTTTAGACCACTCTCTTAGAATGGATAAATAAAATAAAATTTTAATGTTCTCATGAGTGCAATTAGATTTCAAAATTCTCAGCACCGGTATTTAATTGCATGGCAGTGAAAATGCAGTTTCAGTTTTCTCTCTCACCAGTGTGGCCCAGTTTTGAATCCTGGACATTTTGTCGATCATAAGAGGTTTAAGGACCTGTTTACAAGGAGGGAGGGTTACCCTAGCACTCACACATTTCCTCTTTTTTTCTTTGTCATGATTCCAAGGCAGCTAGGGTTATGCGGGAAGGCAGGTTACCCTATCTGCGTGCTAGGGTTACCCTTGCAGGTGGGTTAACTTTTTCCCTTGTAAACACTCCAGGTAGGGTTAACCTGCCTACCTGGGTTAACTTTCTAATTGTTTCCAGACCCTTTGAGTGTAACCACGCATTAAGTTGTCCTGGGTTGTAGGGTTACCCTCCCTGTGAAATTTTGCTAGTAAACCAGGGCTATCTTTTGCCCTCCAGCTAGGGTTAACCCGCTTGCTAAGGTAACCCTCCCTCCTTGTAAACAGGCTTAAAAACCCATTTAAGGACGTCAAACTCACCAATAACGAGAAGTATCAAGGATATTTTCGACCTTAAAACTAACCAAAATACTGATCTCGGAGAACTGATCGATCGAAGGACAGCACAGCCTGATGGTGATGACCACTGACCAGTTACGGTGACGTCAAAAAACGTATTTCCGCGGTGTCGTCAGCGGATAATATGCAACACACTCATCCCAGTCCTTTCAGCGCTGTCGTCTTACAATGCAGCATCAATATGGCTGGTCGATTCTTACGCAAGTTTTGTTCGCACATAGCATTACCTTTAAAACACTCTTCGACGATTTTAACACCAAGAACTACATCTGTATTTTTACCTAAGAATGTTTGTTTACGGATGGCTGGAACATCTTCGTCAAAAGCGAAGGAGAAAAGAGAAATGTAAGTCTGGTTTCGTGAGTCTAAAACAAGTTTTTGTCGCGTCTGCGAATATGTTTGTGTTGTGTAATAGCTACATATAGTGTATCTACCACTTTATTACATGAACTGGAAATGTAGGAACCTTTCGACGGTAAAATCCAGTGATGAGTAAAGCTGAAAAACGTACGTACGGTACCACGTAAAATTCGTGACATTGGACCATAATAGCAAGTGAAATTTTAAAAGAGCTTACATGTAGCTTACAGTACGTACGCTTGTAAGTCGACCTAAGGCGTTTCGCCTACACTTAAGTCGAAGTTATTTTGCGAAGATAGCTGAACATCACTGTCAGACTTCTTTTCGTGGGAAAAACAAACAGAAAAGAAAATCAAAAAATTTGGTGGCACACGTTACATGTACTCTCGAGCTACACAATGGGGTTGTTCAGCAGTTTTTCGCTGACTGGAAAAATCATCCCATCGTGTAAATATTTTAGCCTGGAAGGAGCGGTATCTTGCTTTTTGAGTCCTTTTAGTTTTTTTCTGAAATCAAATGAATTCGCAGCATCATCAGCCAAGCCAAGGAATGTCTTCCCCAGACTTGGCAGGGTTTCTTTATTAACTTATTGCTGTGAAAGACAAAGAGGAAACAAGTCACACTTACCTTGCACAAGGCAGAAAGTCACATATCCGAACAATAGAGAGGTTGANCAAAAAAACTTGTCAAATTAACCAAATCATTACTGCAAACAGCTCCATGAATGCTCCTATCCCCGACACTTCAAAAAAAAAAAAAACTCTTGCACACCTTGCATGCCTATGCAGTGTTTCCACCAGAGCACGCCATTGCGGGAATCCCGCATTACAATCAGAGATGGTCCCCAGAAAAACGAAAAAAGGGCCAATTTGGCCCTTTGTTTTTATAAGACTCCAGGCTTAACATAGGCATAATATTTTAAAAACCATCCCAGGGCTCGAAATTGTGATCAATACGGTCGCCAACGCAACAAGCAGTTCATCCTTGGCGACCAAAAACTTCCAAATGGCTGACCGTGTTTGAGATCACCCTATAATGCATTGCAAACCCTTGATCATTGACTACGTTATGTATGCCTAAGGATTGTTCTCTTGTAATACACGGATCCTTCATACTAGTATCTGATTCAAAAGAAACTTTATTGAGTAGAAACCCTTCAAAAAGCACTTGCTATTAGATTTTATCATGGATCCTAATGAATTGCTTTATTTTCCTTGGTACCCTTCTGTAGCTTTTGATTAGTGACCCCTTTCCTGAAAAATTGGCCCTTAAAAAAGATCTTCAGGGGCCACTTTGGCCCTCAAGTAAAATTTTCTGGCTGAAACACTGCCTATGTTTATACGTGTATTATAACAGGTTAACGTAGTAGCAATACAACCTGTTAGAAACACCTGAAATTTTCCCTGCAACTAGTCCCTGAAATAGTCCCTGCAACTAGTCCCTACAATTAGTCCCCTGAAGAGTTTACACGAAGGGACTGGTCGCAGGTACTTGTCACACAAACAGTTCACAGGAAGCATTTTGAGCAACAAGTCGCTCACTGAGCCTTGTCCCAACAATTCAAACCAGTTTGAGTTCATGGGACTAGTCGCAAGGTCCCTGCGACTAGATTTCGAAGCTAAAATGGCCAGTTCACACAATGGGACTTGTCTCTGTGACTAGTTGCAGGGACTAGTTCCCCTCGTGTGTGCCAACCTTTTAGTGGCTCTGAACCACCTCTGCAGAATTATTTTTAACTTTAAATATCATGCTTACCACTATTCTGTAACAAGCATGCAACATTTAAACACAACATATTGCAACATTGTTGAGCTAAACATATTGCAAGCATAGCAGTCCGGATGGTTTTCAGGAGTGTTTTTTCCCCTTTTCAGGGTGACAATAAATTTCATTGATCGTGATGGAGACAAGGTGACAGTGAATGCAAAGGTTGGAGACAGCTTACTGGATGTTGCAAAAGACAATGATGTAGATTTAGAAGGTTAGTGCAGAGCTTTGAACTTGTAAACTTACACATGTATTTTCTGCTTACACAATGTGAATTGCAGTAGGATCAGCCTGTTGTCATCACTCATTTACAGGATATACCTACAATGTTCCTTTGTAGATGTTTAAAGGGGCATCACTTACTCAGGACTTAATCTCACAGATATTTGATAACCTGAGCCCAATATTTCATTCCCCTTGGTAATGCAGCAGGCATCCTTCGAACTTAAGGTCTATTGATTGGTGCACTGTTGGTTGGGTACAGCATTTGCTGTGGCTAAACAGTCCAATATGTGATTTACAGATAGGACTGCAGTTCTGGCTGACAAACTGTGCCTCGTGTAGGTTTTTTGAAAGTTCATAATAACATATACATGTAGGTTGCCCAGATTACGTGTGGTTGGCTGATGATGCAACATTATATGAATTAAAGTGCCACTAACCTCCAGAATTTTTTCCTTTAATAAAATCTACTAGTTTCCCTGATTACTTCAGCAAAACATTATCTCGATTGAAAAAATCTCTGCGTTTCTACCTGTGTTTGAACGTGTAATTTTTATTTTCAGGACCGTGCAAAGTGGGATCTGGGTCGGGCTACTAGTGATGTCACTTTTGTTGTAACATATAGTTAACAAATTTTCCACAAAGTGCATGTCGGATATAAGTTGATAGACAACCAACAGCATGCATACTGTAGTGCCAAGTTGGCTATAATCATTTATGGTCTCATTAAAAAAAAAAACAAACAAACAATGAGAGCAAGTGGAATTTAATTGTTTTATTAAAAATGCTCCAGATTGTAGAAAGCTAAAATAAAATAAAAATAAAAATTCCCTAAGGNCCCCCCCCCCCCAAATAAACAAATCAAATCAGTTATGCATACACTTACCATACTTGTAGAGCATGGTATTATTGTTGTATACCATGATGGCTAAGCCAATGAAATCTCTAGAATTGCATTGTCCAATGATCCAGTTTTTAATGATACATACACGTAATACCATGTTAATATGAGAATAACACTCAGCAACTGTCAATATTTAACTAACAAAAGTGTATACGTATATCTAAGCAATGCAGATCACAGTTTGTTGCCAAAAGTATAGATGTCAGAAGAAGATATTACATGACCATTATTTTGTTGTAGGTGCTTGTGAGGGTACCCTGTCTTGCTCCACCTGTCATCTCATATTTAAACCGGATGAAATGGATAAATTAAAATTGGATGAACCGTCAGATGAGGAACTTGACATGTTGGACTTGGCGTATGGACTAGAAGACACGTAAGTAGTGTGTTAAGTTTCCAATGTAATGGTAAACATTCAATTTCTTCCTATATCTTCAATACCTTAACAAGCAGACAGGTGGGGAGAATATAGATAATCATCAGCTTGGCTTATTGTCGTGATGTTACACCAATTTCTCAAAACTTACTGCCAATAATTTTACAACAGAAAATGTCTTAAATGAGATTAGCTTGCATAGCAAGCGCTACCCACTTTGGTCCACAGAAATTCAAGGTAAGAGCAATTTTTGTGTGGCCAAATTGTGGAAAACTAGTATTTGTACAGGAACCCTTGCTACACAGGCTAAGTGGGATTAAAATGCTTGCTTTGACTTGCATTCAGATTTACACTCAGTGTAGTAACTACAGTATACATTCTTCCTTTAGTATATCATAATGTCGTACTCTGAAAAGTCTTAAATGTGCTTGTTTCCTTTGTATTGATGTTTCAAACAATTTTTTTCTTCAATTACGCCCCACAGGTCTCGTCTTGGATGTCAGATCATTGTCGCTAAGAACTTTGAAGGAATAACCGTGAGAGTTCCAACAGCTCACCGAGATATTCGTGATCTCTGACAGATCCCATGTACAAGACTAAGAAGTACTTGTACTGTGAAATTTAATATTTGTATATATATACATGTAATTGTTATTTCGCACAATTCACGGCCAAATGAACGGTCTCTCTTACTTGGTAAAGTGATTCAGGGGAAGAAATCATACCAACTAACCAGTACCCATGTCCTAATAACGTTTAAGATAGTTTATGAAAGTCCAAAGAGATGCTGACAATATTTCACATGGTATCACGTCAATATTACCATCACAGTGCAACCACTGAAAGAATAGGACCTTTTTCTTCTGTACAGATTATTTTTTTGTGAGGTAAATCGTGAAGTTATCACAATTGAATATGATCATCATTCTCAGATGTGCAGTATTCATGCTGAGCATGAACCGGTCACAGTAGAATGTCCTTGAAAAGATGCATTAGTAATTACATACTAGTTCCCTTTGGTAGACGGTGATAAGTTTGGGTCATTCTCTTGAAATTGAGATTGTCAGTGGTAACAGAATAATACTTCGTTTTCCACTAGCTCTCTGGTAAATGAGGCTCAGCCTGTAACTTCATTCACAGTTTTTGCTATGGTAAAATGTAAAAGCAGACTGTTTTTCAAGGTCTTTCTTTCTGATCAAGGAGCAGTCTATTTGACCAAACAGTGACGGCCAGTGGGTGGAAACTACCATCGTTCAGGGTTTTTTTCTTTAATGTACTGTTTTGGGACAACCTGACAATACGCTAGAAATGTAATGGACTTGAATTCCATCCTTGGTGAATGGCTAAAGTATAGTAGCGAAATAGTATACAAGGTAGAAGTATACTTGTCGGTGCTTCGTGGCACAGCAAGCAGTGATCAGTGCCGAGATTTCTGAGCCATTATGTACAGTACGTTTAAAGGGGCACTATCATGGCGAGTTTGCTGCATTGTGCTAAAATTAGGACTAAGTACCTTAGCTCGTACATGAAATGGTTGTACAACACCATGATGAAGACATGAATTGTTAAAGGACCTACGTCACGGTTTGCGCATATTGAAAAGTTTAGTCTCAATTTTTCAAATTCGTTGATTGTAATCCGTGTTAATCTTCTCCATCCTTAGCCATCCTTGTTCCTTTATGGTTTATCATTATTTCTTTGGTGTTTTTCTATCTTATTGAACTGTTATTTTCAGGTTTCCTACCATGTAAAGATAATTTTGTGTGTGGCCAAAATAACTCAAAATACCGTGACTGAACCCCGTTAAAAGGGGGACAATTTTCTGTTAGTTTTTAGTTTCTAACGATTTTTCTTCCAAACGACCGCAAAATTTGAAGACGTCTGCCAGACTTTCTCAGTTTGAACCCTCTATAGCGGTCATTTCATTTCATCAGTCCACGTAGTGATTTTTTCATAGAACTTGACCATTGTTTTAAGGCTTTCATGCTCTTGCTTAGTACGCCTATGCTTATTTTTTTAACTTATTCAGTCCAGACTCTCCTCTTCACTACAAGCAACCTCTCGGTAAATAAGTATGGATTTATTTAACAAATAAAGAAGCCTACGTCTCGTGTTTTCCCCTACACTTCTTTCGTGTTCTACCGCTCCCTGCGTGCTTTACAACCGAACAGAGCACAGTCGAGGCTTCTTTATTTGTTAAATAAAACACGAGGGAAATGTAGAAAACGCGAGCCGCAGGCTTGTGTTTTCTACATTTCTCNTCTTTGTTTACCGTGTAACATTTCATTTTATTCAGTCTCCATTTCTGTTGGTTAAAATCCCACAACAACTAGCTTTGCAAAGTGAATTCTTAATGCTCATAACGTTTTTCTTTTCGCTCCGGATGATAGTCCGCTCAAGCTCCTGACGCATAGGTCACGCTAATGTTAGTCGCCGAGCTGGCGACTTGCGGGAGCAACTTCAGAATACCCGGCCACTTTATTTACATGTGCCGGTGGGCTTTGAAGAACGAGGTATATAACAATAGTTGCTATTCTTATTCAATGAGATGCTAATAAGTGGCCGGGTATTCTGGAGTTAAGCCGAAAAAATTTTTGTTATGCAAGATCTCTGGACAGTTACTACTAAAAAAAAAAATAAACATTGATGCCAAGGCTGTAACCAGTGAAGATGATATTTAATATGAACTCACAACAATTACAAAGTTGTGAGACATGTAATTTCTCAAAATAGCCCTGTGAATTTCCTTCTTAAAAGAAACAGGAACATGCAGTCAATCAAGTTACCTTTGCTTTGCATGTGGCTCAACCACGTAAGGAAATCTGCGGGTAGCTGCTGCATACCTATTCAATATATGTAAACAGGATGTTCTCACATTTCAACTTAGACTTGTATTCATGATCTACCGAGCTCAGTTAGTTACAATCTGGTGCTTGTGCTGAGTACTTTTTGAAAGTTGGTTCTCCTGTGTTGGCATCCTGTTGATCTCCAGCTCTTGGTATTCTTATGTTGGTTGGAATGGAGTCTGCTTCTGGCTGGATTGAATCTGCTCAGGTGATCATTGAAAATACCTAGTACAATATCTGCATAATTATCATGAAAACATTTCCTCCTAGGTAGTAGTGAACTGTAAATAGATAAGAAATGATATAACTTTATTTTAATAATCCTTTTTCCGCATTTTGCCTGTTTTTTGTTTGAGACCGCTAGCAAGTCTGAATTTCTCTCGAAATCAGGCAGGGATTATCGCTTGACCCTTAGAGAAAAGAACAGTTGTCAGCAGTCTAGCTTATAGCGTTCTAAATGAACACTAAATTTCACTCCAGCGGTTGTGTTATTATTTAGTTTCTGCTTTACAACAGTCAGTTAGGAAATTAATAACGATTATTGTGATTTGGCCGAACATGTTCACGAAACATATAAAAAACACATCTAAGCACGATTAGCTGTGGCGTAAGTCAGAGCGCCCAACTTGGCTGGCATTACAATTTACATTTTGTAACTCAGACTGGCTCAGAACATGTTTTAAATCATTTCTTGTTCTTATGAGCACACTGTAAATTAGAACTTACAAGTTCTTCATAGCCACAAGTTTTTTTGCCTGTGACTATCGATTACTCTTAAGGTCGGCACACACGAGGGGACTGGTCCCTGCGACTAGCCCTGCAACAAGTCGCGGGGACAAGTCCCATCGTGTGGACCAGCCACTTTTGCTTCAAAATCCAGTCGCAGGGACCAAAGTTTGGTCCTTGCGACTAGTCCCACGAACTCAAAGTGGCTACTTGTTCTTCAAAACGCTTCGTGTGAACTGTTCGTGGGACAAGTCCTTTCGACCAGTCCGTTCGTGTAAACTCTTCAGGGGACTAGTTGCAAAGACTAGTCCCAGGGTCTAGTCCCCTCGTGTGCGCCGACCTTTATACTGGAATACATCACGAGCAAGCATTGTCTTACCTGAAAAGGTTTCCACAAGGAAAGTTTCATGTATACATGTATTTATGTTTTCTCTGACAAGGGCCTTTGTTGAACAGCTTTGCACAGCAGTGACGGAAGTTTCTTACTTTTTCCTGTTCCAAACCGCAAGATGGTATAAAATGCCAATCACGTTACGAGGCCACCTCCTGCTTGAATTCCCACCTACTCCTTCCCGGAGTCCCCACGGCCTTGAACTGACACATGTGCATTTATTTTAATAACTTTCTTTTTTGAAAACGAAAACTTATTACACGAGCTCGCATTTTTTAGAACACAAAACGAAAACAAATGAACTTCAATTTTAAAGATCGCGTTCATACTTTCATTTCACCCACCGACTACAAGTCTCACTAGCCTGTAGCAAGGGAACATCCGTCCCCTCCCGTCCAGAAAATCGGGGAGGAGCACCTACTTCCCAATTTTGTTAAGGGGAGGGGACGGACATACACAGGTTATGATAAGGACTTATTTTCCATTAAAAAAGTGGCTGTGCTGTGAGCACCACATGCCAAGGAAAAATGTATCGTACTCGACAGTCAGATCAAACTCTAAATACCGTCTAAAGATCTTTTTACTTGACGTGTGTTATGTTTTTCGACGTTTTTCTTCCGTTCTGGTGCAGTGGTTTGAGCGTTGCGTGCGTGGGGTTGTGATCCTGTTGCACTCGAAGGCCGTTTCGTCACCGACAGATTAAAGTCATAAAAATGCCGCGCTTTTTTTTTTTTTNATTTCTTTTCTTTGATATATATAATACATGAAATGGGGTGCTTATGCCGATACTAATTAACTTAAAGGTAAATCGATTGGGTGTTATGTTTGTGTTTTTTCTCTCTTTTTTTCTTTTACACGGGAAACTGGCAGCAAATATCCACCTCGGAAACTGTCGAAGAATTACTGACCTCTAACTCCTTAACTGTTTACGTGAAATTGATCTATTCGTAGTTTTGTCATATGCGATAGTGTTCTAAGCGATGGCTCAAATTTCCGAGTCAAGTTGTCATGCATAAACAATTTTTAAAATGCAATCAGGCAAAAATTCAGATTTGACTTCCGTTATCTCTTGAGCCCCCAGGCTATATGTTGATACAAAACACAAAACGTAAATAGATCGAGCAGTCTATCGGATGATATTTAAAAATAAACTCAGCAGTTTCTTTTTGCACTGAAAATGGGTCGATGGTCCGCAAGCTAAGCCCGACAGTCGGAGGATGCAAAGTATGCTAACGATAACACTTTTTTCCCCCTCTGAAACTGCACCTTATTTTAAACTTCCAAGGTCACTCCAACTTGTTGATATTGTTGCACTTGATATTAAGCTTGGTAAGTTAAATTCATCGAAAACTAGGTCGGATGTACAACAACGAACTTCAAGGGGTCGAGGTCTATGAATACATTTACTCCTTGATCCTCAAAACAGTTGATCGTTCTGATCACAGTTACTCACTGTGTTCTGATCGATAAACTGAAAAAAAAAAACGCTTATCTTCAGTGTCACGGACTGCGCGTGTGTATTGTGAGATTGCTTTTTCACATCGGCTTCAAATGTCTTTTTAGAAGGGATATTTAACCAAAATGTGTTATTTCTATAGCTAAGTGAAAGTAGATTTCTCAAAACTAAATTATTTAGAGGTCAGCTTTCGTTAGATAACCTATACCTCGTGCCGTGTTTCCGGCGCCGTCAGGTCGCAGCGTAATCAAGATAACTTCATAATTTACCAGTGCTAATTGTCTCTTGTAAATATTTTTTTTATCCAGTACATATAAATCCCCACAGATTTTAAATTACTGCTGTTAGCCAGTCTTTTCTTTTGCGGCCAGCCGTGTGTTTGTTTGTGAACACGAACGCAAAAGAGCAGTATGGACGAAAAGGATTAGGAGTGACGATCCCGGTATCTTTCCGTGCCATGTAAGTAAACTCGGATGTACAGGCTGGGAGGTACTCCGATGTATTCCGCAATTTTCAAAACTGCGCGTGTTGCGAAAAATATTTGAAGGATAATAAACACCATAGTCTCCATTTGGCGCGGAAATATGTTCAGATATTTTTCCTTGGACATTATCTGTTCCTCAAAGCTCACAGTTTTCCTCGAGCTACGTGCTCGGAAGACTGTTCGCTTCTTGGAACGGATAATGTCCGCGGACAACTATCCAAGCATATTTTCGCGCCAAATGGAGACTTGTTTTCATATGGGCGTGTGAGGCCCTAAAGGGTATGGTTTTTGGTCAAAAAAGAAGGTATAGATTTTGACCATTTTGGCTTGAAATAAGGTATCCTTTTCACTTTTGCTTGACATTGGAACTCTTTTTTCCGCGTCAACATTGAAAAATTTGAAGCCTTTTCAAATGTTAATCATAATTGGTAGACGGAACTATGCGGAAATGGAAGCCATTTCTGGTTAGCTGGGTGCATATTTTTAGAGCCATGTACTAATTTTAGAGGTCTAAAATGGGGTATCGATTTTTAGCTCAGGTCTGAAATAGGGTGCACATGTATGGAAAATCAGATTTTGGTCTGAAATAGAGTACAGGTTTCAAGGTTCGGGCTCCCGCCGCCACCAAAATCTTTAGGTAGTATCCCCTTCCGGTTCCGCGGTCACGATGCGATAAGTATCCAAAAAATCATGCCGTATTTCACTATAACGGGATGCAATTACTGCCAAATCGACTGTTTTCCGTCTCATATAAATAAATTGTTTTCTCCCGCCTATCCCCATAGAATTCTACCTTCAATGGTCCTCAATCAGTCGGTTGAAAGCTAAGTGACTAGAGATTTCTAAGACATATTCAAGCTACACTAAGTAGCTCCACCGACCTAGATAATTTCACTGCGTGGATCATGGAAGCAACGTATCCAGGGCCAACAGGCGGCCACTAAACTGGCACAAAACAAATGCGATATATTTTTTATTTCCAAAATCCTCTTATGACAGTTCCTCTCAAGGTGTGTTTACACCGTGTTCACCCAACACATTTTGAATTTATCGAATCAAAGCTGATCCTTTCAAGAGTTTCGACCGAAACTTCACACGTGTGCACTTCATGACATCTAACAATTTCCAAGTGTGACCATGCGTATTGTGGAACGTTCTGACCATACGTATACAGCGGAACGATCTGACCGGATTCCAGCAAACTTTCCACGTTTACATTGACTTCCGTTAACTCTGAGAGCAAGATTAAACTTTACTCTTCCTAAGTCGACTCTCATTTGACCATGCCCAAAGTAAAGAATGTCAACAACGTAAATTGAATTTCTCGATATTTATGAAATTCTGCGGCCAAATTCTCGATTTGCTCATAAAATTGATTCGCTTTCTTTCGTTCGACAATTGACAAAATGAAGACCATATAATATAATAAATAATGAAAATAGTGTACAATTTGTTGAAGCAAATTTCATGTGGATATGCTCCTTCAAATGCGCATTACAACTCAACTTACCTACTTAAATGTTGCTGCTTTCTCAATGAATGTAGAAATCACAAGCCTTAAACTAAAATTCCCTGAAAATTGTAATATCGTTCAGATCTAGCGTGATGTGGTTCACCGAATTTTATCGGAAATTTTGTACAGCGTAATCAGAGTTCGGATATGGACCATTGATCTCCTTGTTCACCATCTAAAAGGGAAAACCCGTTTCGACACACCTAATCCACGTGTTCAGGTGCTTCAATTTGATAAATGCTCTTGCAAATGCTTCTCCTTCTGTCCAAAAACTGCTTTAGACTTGGTTCGGCATGGCATCGTTTCTTCTAAAACAGCAAGCAATATCGATGAAATCTCAGTAAATAACTCAGACGCCATCCATCTGATCTTACAGAAGATTTCGAAGGCTGGGGACTCCCCCACCCACGTACGTAAACGTCACGTTTCCGTGACGTCAAACTGTTCCACTTCCTTCTCTTTCTATATAAGGTCCCAGAAAGGTTACCCTGCTTTATTTTGGGCGCTGGATTCGCCGGTTTGCAGAGAGATTCTGTGGCCATGTCCACGTGCAAGGAACCCTTTGTTTGTGAACACGTTCTTTATCATAGTAATCGCGGGAAAAGGAAACATAAGGTATGCTAATGTTAATGGTTCGTCTTTAAAAGCTAATTTATACTTCGGCGCATTCGCGTCCCAGCGCATCAAAATAGCATAACAGCGTTCTGTATAACTTAAGTCTCTTATTTGTGCAATTTCGAAAACATTATAGAACCAGGGATCTATACTTGGACTAACTTTCGAGCAGACTGAAGAATGAAAATTTCAGACAATATCGAATCGTAGTGTCATGATGCTGTTTGATTCGTCGGTCGGCCATCTTGCTTAGTTTACTTCTTTCAACTTTGGCCGTTTACTTTACCGCACGACAAATGAATGACTGTTGTTTTTTTCCTTCTCCGATAACAGTGGGAACGAAGAAGTGTTAGCATTAAAAGGAGTGGATGCAACGGAAAATGTGAGTGTTTTGTCTGTACCCTGGTTTAACATGCATAACATTAAGCTGATGTGTGGGTTTTTTTGTTTAATTTAAGCTTTTTTTTTCAATTTAAGTTTATGTGAAGCTTTTGTACGTTGCTATTTTGAACGGCAAGATTCAGTTCTTTTGTGCGATCAACCATTTAGTCTGCAGTTGTCATTTTGACATCTTAAATGCATTGTCTGTGACACAATTAAAGCGAAAATCAAATCGAAAAGAAAACTTTGAGGAAGTTGGCTTACAATGTGCATGATGCATGGTTGTCAACATGTGATTTGCATATTATCATCCCCTACTCCCTGAGGTTCCAAATCAAACTATATAGAAGGCTTTGAGATGCTGAGACCTTTATTTGAAAACCGGGACTGAGACTTCACTATTTTCAGACTGAGTGGCAGATTGAAACTCACAAGAATGACACCTTTGTGGGTCATTACAAAAGGTTCAGAGATATGAAGACTGGATCACAAGTTTTTGTGACCCTCAATTTTATTATTCAAAATGTGTTTAATTGCTAAATATTTTACTTAGCACTTATCAGAACAAGAATCATCTGACTAATGGTTCTCCTTTCATTACACTTCCTGTTGTCAGATTTAGTGAAGGTTGCACCGATCCAGAAAAAACGCAGTTTGTTGAGACCAAAGAGGCCTGAAACTGTTGAACTAATTTCCAACAGTCATGCCATAGTTCACCTGGATTCCTTTGGAAATCAAAGGAATGTTATCGGAATTCTACCTCTGAGAGGAGGCAGCCAAATACGAGGACATTTTTTTTCATCTGAATGTGGAGAAAAGCTTGATAACCTCAAAGTTCTTCTTGCAAAGTGTTGTGATGGTAAGGTATTTGTTTTGAGACTTTTGTTCAGTACAACAGTTTGGTTGTTACCATGGATTAATATTGAGCATATCATCTTATTGAGATAAACAAGTTTAAACTTATTACTTGTATCATCCAATGCCAATTAGTAGACTAAAACAAATATTGTAGTATGAATATTTGTAGGCCTGGCCAGTGAAATGTCATCTGGGCCCTCCATTGGACAAAACACATCACATGGCACAAAATCAGATGACTAGTATTAGGCAAGGAATCCCATCCTATTTGATATCCTTGGCCGGGCAAATTTTCTAGAAGAGGACAAAACAAACAAAGTCAGACATTTCGGGCCATTAATCTGTTTTTTATCACAATGCTGTTTGAGAAAACAAGTCAAATTACATTGAATTTTGTTCAAAGGACACTGCCGTAAGTATCATCTTCTGATTGAAGGAAATTTTATAAAAGGCTAGTACATGCGTCATTTTGTCACCGTGATCAAATGCAAATTTTAAATTATTCTGTTTGAATTAAGTTCAGGTGTGAAACATTCAAGAAAAATGTCAGTTATTTAAACAGTTTTACAGAAATGAAAGACAAATTATTGCAAATTTGCATTTGATAATACTAGTGTTTTTTTTTCTTTTAAAATGGCTTTTTGTTTAACTAATAAAGAAGCTTAAGCCGTGTATTACAGTCTGATAAAACACGACAGGTATTTGAGAATAGGAGGGAAATATAGAAAACACAAGCCGCAGATAAGTGTTTCTACATTTTCTCAAGTTTTCTCAAATGTCTGAAGTGTTTTATCACAGTGTAGTACACGGCCCAGCCTTCTTCATTTGGTTTATTATATAGATTGTACACTCCGCAAGTAGAAACAACAAAGCACACAGATTGACAAACTGACCCAATTTAATACCACTGAAGTGCTATATGCCTTGTCTTCAAAACTGTCTGCTGATTCACAGAGAACTCCATCACAAATTTCTTCAAAGAAAATGTTTTTCGCCATCTTTAACAAAAATGTTGACCAGAGGTAATGTGGCAAAAAGCAATAAAACACACTTTTTCTATGTTTTATACTCTGATAAAACATGGGTTTTTGACCAATTAGAGCACACACAGGGTCCTATCTATATTATAATTAAAAGCTAGTAAAGTATGAGAAAAGATGTGCAACTATAAGAAAAGAATATCCTCAAAATTTTACATTTACCCTGGAAACTTTATTTCCCTGACAACTCTTTCGACCTCAACACTGCTCATTTTCCAGGTGGAAGGCTTTAAGGCTTTCCACCCACTGACTATAGACACAATGCAATTATACGTAGCTCGATGGTCAGGAGAATCGGCAGAACTCAATATTTAAATTATCCAATACGTTAACAGACTTTGTTGACTTATGTCAAATGCAAAACAATATCAGGGAAATTATTTTGTTTTTGAACTTTTAATTAATGTGACAGAAAATTTTGAGCCCTGATAAAGAATTAGCTACTTTCCATTTCATCAGGCCTTTTATAGTTAGTAGAAATTGTTTTCTGGTCAGGAAAATATTTGCTTACATTTTGGGCAGTTACTGGACATTATTGGTCGATGGCAATTAATTTTTGCGATAAAGTGTGTTTTTATAAGGGTTCCAATGTGTAAAATTATCTTGTAATATAATTCTGCAAGTTAAAAACTTTTTGCAGTGACAGTTGAAACTTACTACAGTTGAACACCTGCTAGCTGTATAATCAATATTCAAACTTGTGGCCAGTTGTTAAATTTGCAAGTGGAATATAGCGTTTTTTATAGTTACACCTGTCACAATAATTTTATTGTGTTTAACCACCATTGACAACAATGCCAATAATTTTGTGTTCCATTTTTACCCACAGTCGTTTCTTTTGACGTGGATTTTGATGAAACGCCCAAAAGCTCTCCTTTGACCAAAGCCCAGCTTCATATCTGCAATGACAGCATATGTTTATCAACAAACCTAGAATATGACTTCAAACTCCTTGGAGAATGGCAAATTGATTCTCTTTCACAACAACTTATGACACACAGGGGTGTTACTTTGAACGTGACGAGTGAAGCACAAGAAGAGAAGACACTTCTTTTAAGGACTGAAAGAGGACATGAGATTTGTTCAAAATTAACTGAACGGCGTCGGTGCCTAGCACCAGCTGACCATCAACAATTTCAATATAGCACTTCAGTGGCTGCAGTACACCAATGTGATGGCAATTCCAATATTATGTCAGCTTCAAGTCTAAGCAAAAGTTGTGAGTGGGAACATCAAATACATTTTGAACCTTTGCCTTCTAAATCTAAAATCTTTCCACCTACAAAGGTAAAGCCATCATTTAGTTTAGGGGAGTTATCTTCATTGAGCCATTTACCTTCTAATATACAAGCAAAGTCACCACTTTCATCTGATGGAAGCATTTGTGAGGACGAATATGGTTCAACTAATTCAAGGTTGTCAGCAAGCACAGAGCAGGGTTTAAATAGTGACAATGAGCTTAATGTTCAAACGCAACTGGAGTTAACGGCTCATAAAAAGCATGCTGATAGAAATGGAACTAAGGATGGAGAGGAATCGAGCACCAGGGAGAATCACATTCAAGATGAACACCCACCACCACCCATTCCACAACGGAAACTTAAACCTGCAAGTACATGTACCGAGCAAGTAAAGAATGAGTTGCAGGATAATACCAAGTGTTCAGATCACAGTATCCATGGAGAGGAGTTGGTGATTCAAAGGTCACGCAGCTTCCAGATTGTTGAACAACCCCCATCTTGTCCAAAAAGACAGCGCTTCAAAAGTGAGTCGTCACTTACTGTAACAGAGACTGCAATAACTGAGCTTGTTCAACCAATATGCCTTGACCAGCCACATTCCAGGCCTGCAAACTGCCTTGACACATACAGGGATTTACAAGCAAACAGGGCAGCAGACACCGAGGCAAGGAAAAGTGTCTGTCCACCCAAACAGGATCAAAGGAATAACATTAGCTGTGCGGTAACTCAGGATGGTGTAGACACCTTTGACTTCAAGCCTACAAGTGTAAAAAGTAGGGCTTTAACTCACACTTATTGCATGCCAGCACCTTCTAATGGTGACACCCAAGCTGTTGATGAAAAAAGCCAACTTAAAGATAAACTGGATAGTTCAGACAGCACTTGTCATTATGTAAATCTACCAGAGGGCTCCAGACCAAGCTGTTATCTTTACATGAATCTTCCTGATCCAAGGATAGCACCTAAGGAGGCTGCAAGTTGTGTCAGTCATGTTTTCATGAGTCGCAGCATGAAAGGCATTTATGAAAATGTGCAACAGTATTACAGTGAGAAGTTTGAAACAGCTGTAGCGTCAGAAGAGAGCACATCTCCGCCACCACTTCCTCCTCCAGCTCTTCAACCTCGTCCGCCACCACCTAGAATACCAAGGAGGGTACCAAAAGATTCAAAAGGAGCACAGAAGCCTCCAGTTGCGCTTCCTGTGCAAACAAGAGATTCCTGTGGGCCACCTCCCCCTCGCCCACCCAAGAAACAAGCATCGGTTACCAAGGTATGTAATTAAAATTTCAACATGTAAGTTCATTCCTTTACCTTCATTGTTGGTGGTATGGTCTGAAAAATGCTTTCACTATATGGCATAGCCAGGACTGGTGCACTGCGCTGTTTTTGGGTTGCCTCATGTATTATTGTAACCTCTTACATGGAGCATTTTTCTTTGATAAATACAGATTTTTAAATGTTATGAGTAATGAATAATTCATTTTTGTTTCAGGAGGGTTTATCAATTGCTCAACAAGACATTCAAGTCACAATTGCTGTTTTTGCTTCCAAAGCTGTTTCAGGTCGAGTGTGGTTCCTGCGGATTGTGGTAATGAAACATGATCCAGATGACACCACATTCAAGGTAATGCCACTTTCAAATATCTGCAGCTCTTTGACTTACCATTATTTTGCCAAAGTCTCTTAGTTCTTTTCCATAACAATAAGGAAAACATTACTTCAGGCTGCAAGTAAACAAGTTGAGTTGACCTTTTAAGTTGCAAATCTGGAAAAAAATTGTGATAACGATGCCTTGCAAGGATATCAAGATGCAAGCACTCGCTATTTTGTATTGTAATAATTTCGACAGTAAGAACACACTTGCCTTGCTTCTAAATGATTATCAACTTGTTGTTTTTGTTTAGATGGTGAAGGACCGTGAAATTGCCAGCAAATATCACCTGATACAGACCTACCCTTTCTGCATTTCATCAGATATTGTTGTCTCATTGAAACATCAGTGCCTGCAGTTTAAACTTACCAGTGAAGACTACCAAGTAAGAGCTGACTTAGTACTTTTTACATAATGGATGAAATCTCTTAAATGTCCATAATTTAAACTAAAAAAAAATGGATTTTAGCTGTGAGTAAAAATTGACGTAGGGTTGAGGATTGCACTGGTGATAGCAAGGTAGTGATTATTTGGGTTATCAGTTGATGTGCTCATACAGACAGGCCATGCATGAACATGTCCTCTGAAAAATCATAGATTTGCATGTAGTGTAGAAAATCAAATTCTCAAACTCATCAATAATATTCATCAATTTTGATAGACAAACCAAATTAATTATAACCATGAGAGGTTTTGGATAACTTATTCTCATTCTGATTAATGATTTGCCAGTTTTGATGAGTGACCTAGCCCCTTAGATGTCAGGAACAAGTCTCAAACTTTGGTTCAAATCCTTTCTACAAACCTGAACATTTCTGTTAATGTACGCTTAAGCTGTGCCAGAGAGTTGACTGTAAATAGAACTGATCATTTTTTCTGCATTCATGTCAACAGGAGGTTGGTTACAACATCATTGAGAATCTTGTGCATGGTTTTTGGTTTGTTATTGAGTTCCACTTGGCACACATGGGAAGTGACGCAGACCAGTTTGTGGGGAATGTCTGCGTAGAACCCAAAGATCTTCCTGTTGGTGAAAAGTGTCCTGTAAACAAGAGAGTCTATCTTGGCATCACTGAAGACTTTGAAATGAAGGTAAGTCATCTTTGATCATCACTATACTTGAATGTCGACATTAGAAAATGTTATCTTCTAAATGCAAATCCTAAAAACAACTTTGATTACAAGACTTGACAACATGGTTCACCAACATCACTTTTCAAAATTTCTTGACTTTTTCCTGATAAAAATAAAATTTTCCTGACCAAATAAATACAAAATGTCAGATATAGCAGCATCTTCCAGCCTCCCCTTAAAGTGCAACTAACCCCCAAATTTGTTTTTCCTTTAATGAAAACTACTAGTTTTTTATATTACTTCAGCAAAAAAATTATCTTGATTGATAAAATCCCTGCAATTCTACAGGCATTTAAAGTTGTAATTTCTTACCCCAGGACCGAGCATGGTGGGATCTGGGTCGGGCCTCTTCTGATGTCATTGAAGGACATGGCTCAAAACACTCAAGAGACTGAGTTTCGAGCGCTGTGAAAACATATTTGGGGTATTTGTGCTTCATATTATATCGAAAATGGACAAGCTTTTAAATGAAAGAACTGTATCATCTAGCAATACAATTCGGAGTCTAGCCACGATTAGCATGGCTACGATCTATATATATTTTTTCGATTTTGAAGTGCGAGTCACAAGTCGAGCCCACCACACTATCAGTCACGATCGACAATTTGCAGGCCCTTTTGGCTTATAAAGGTTAAAACTGTGGATGAAGAGTTAACTTACAACTATTGAGGAGTTATAAAAATGTCAATGAACATGAGTATATTCACGGAAAAATTCGTCTGTTCGCTTCGTTATTGCCAACTGACCGTATGTATACAAAGTCAAGTACTGAATTAGTTGTGTGAACATAAACATTATGAGTTACCCAAATTTGCCTATTTCATTCTAGTAATTAAAAATCGTTCGAGAAGATCTTGACCAAAGGTTCAGTATGGTATAAATGAATGCATTTCTCCTTCACTGTTCTTTTGTTTTAAGGTAATTCCTCTGAAATAAAAGTTACAATAGATTTTTGTTCAAACTTTGTCCACTGAATATTTGNAAATCCGTCATGTTTTCAATATGCGCATGCACAAGCGCACGCTAATGACGCCATAAATTATGCGCAGTAAGGATGCGCAATGCAAATGTGAGGAATGACCTTAAGAGTCTTTTTTAGTACGCTAATAACCCGAGTGTTGCATTTCGGTCGAAAACAAGCACATTCTCCTTTCAGTGCTTCAATCTCTGTGCGTAAAGTCGAGTCTTTATGGTTTGTTTTACTTTACTTATATATACTTATCAATGCTTGATTCGTCTTAAGTTTGTAACTGAAACAGATATATCTGTTTCCTCAAAGAACAAAACAATTGTGTATGGGAAAGGGCCTTTAAGAAACTCGCATTGTTGACCTCGTGCATGTAGCTTGCGTGTGGTTGTATATAAAATCCAAAAATACATAGCTAGTTCAGCAGTTTGAAGCCTCACTAATCTTAATCACTTTGTTGTAGGATATATGTGTCGTTGACTATTTGATTACAATACTCTCTATTTCAAGGGCAAAAAACGTGATGCGAATGATTTGCCTTATATTTATCTCACCTAGTTTCCATTGTTTTGGTCTGCGACTCTGGGGCTCATTTTGATAAAATAGTCAGATGGCTCTCAGCTTATCCCAAATTCATGTCTATCTACCCTGACAATGTTGAGCTTTGTACTAGAAGCTAGAGTATAGTATACAGGCCATGAAAATCTCTAGGTTTTTACACTAGTGGCGAACCCAAGATCGAAGAACTGCTCGATGACTCCCTGTTTCGGTCCGACTTCACACAAGTCAGCACACTTCTTTCATCTTCTTCTCGTTTCTGGACGAGTGCCATCGATGCAGAGGTATCGAAGAAAGAGGATATCTCTCTCCTGAGCTTGCTGCACTGCTACTCCCTCCAACAACACATCTACCTTGCATTCTGTGATGATTTTGATTCGCACTATTGCATGTTCACATACATTCTCCTCATAAGCGAAATTTTGTTAGTCCTTCGATGACGTCACAGGCCAACTCGCCCCATTCTGGGCTATTGCTTGGCCATGGGGCGCCAAAACGGCCAATTTTAGGAACTTTGAAAAATCATGTAGGGAGAATGATAAATTTTTTGCAGTGGTGATCAGAAAAACAAGGAGATTTATTTAAGCAAAAAAAATTTGGGGGGGGGGGGGGGTTAGTTGCGCTTTAAGCCACCCTTTCCACCCAGTCATTAACTAATTCAGATTTAACAAAACTTTATGGGATGTGTATCTTTTGTTGATATTTTACCAAAATCATTGTCAAATTTCAAGGGTTAACATTCAGTGCATTTTATTTTTGAGAAGCATGGGGGTGATTCATGCATTGAAAGAGTACCTGTAAAAGTGGAAATTAACAGCCACCATTCCTGATGTCCGACAGTTTGAATTTCTGACATGAACTTGTGTGAAATTCATTTTTAGCAAAACTGTAGTTGTGATCAACATGGAAATCACCACACCAGTGGAAACCAGGTTTGGAAACCGGTAATTCCCAATTATACCAAGAGGAAGGAAATTTGCACGAAACTGGACATTACCTTGTACTCACGAAACAACTGGCGAGATGTTGCTGGACACCTAGGCTTTCATGTGGAAGAAATAAAGAGCTTAGATGACAAGGCGCAGAAATGCCCCAACTTTTCACCCATGGAGCACATTCTTACCATATGGGAACAGAGAGATCCTGGATGCAGCTTAGATAGACTTGTTGGCATTTTACGAGACATCCAACGACCTGACATCGTCAGTGATCTTGGGTTTTCTTTGGATTTGGAAAGCTCGTAAATGTCCCCACAAAGTTTGCTTACAGGGTAGTTTATCCTGATTTTGATGTTCACTTTTTGATGTGTTACCACATTCATGACTGTGCATAGAGGAAGCATCATACAGTTTACTAGATATTATTGAATCCAAACATTTACAGGGCTTGTGAAAATTAGCAACTGTTGACGGTGGTTCTGCAACAAGAAAAGCTGATGAGTCTGTATTTTCTTTCTAAAATTTCAAGTTTTTAAATATATACATCACACTTAAAGTGTTTAATATATCAGACTCTAATTTCATGGGACATCTACCAGTAACTGCATCATGGCCTTTCAGTTTGCAGGGTTTGAACATGTGTATCGGTAGCTTGATCAAAGATTAAAATGTTCATGCTAATATGGCAAGCAAAACTTCTCCAATATTAAAGCATACATTCAAAAATTATTGTACAATCCAGGATTCCCTTGCCAGAAATTTAAGCCTGTTTAGAAATCACATTGCCTACTGGTAGGCAAGCAAATTTGAACCTAACTAGTCCATTGAGCAAGCAAAAATTTGGCTACTAGACTTAATGAGCTGTTAGTCTATTCACATGTCTTGTTTGTAGTAGTCTTTTCTATTGACATCAGAGGGGTTTTCACTTGAGTGTCAAAAGAACTTTTAATTCGCATTGGTTTTGCATTTCCAGCCTAAGTGATTGGTTTAAAAAGCTCACACCACTTTTCAACCAATGAGAAGTTAAACCAAAACCATGACTTGCTCACACATTGTTTTCCACGCTTCTCATCAGTAATACCTCTTTTCTTGGAGTTTTGATTGGTTCACTGGATTGTCTGTCCTTTGTGATGGTCAAAGTGATTACTTTAGTTCTGATTTTACAACACTCAATTGAAAACCGCTCTAATTGCCTTGAACTTGTCTGAACAATTTTTACTTTTTTGTACTGTATATATTGGTATTTATCTTGACTCCTTTTAGATTTTAAAACAATCAATGTATCTTATGTATTGTGGAAGCAATGTCGTAAAGATTCCCTGAATATTCCAAATCTATACATGTAAGTCCCATAAAATGAAAGTGTGTACATTTACAAAATTTTAATATAATTTTTAACAAAGATAAATTTATCAAGTAAATAAATGTAATAGTTAGCAAGTTTAAAAATTGTCTCATAATGGGACTGGTTAAGTGTTCCCTTACAGGAAATGTTCAATGTTAACTATCAATCTTTGGCTAGGTCCATAATTCAGTATCTCCCTGTGGGAGGTATATATCCCAAAGCAGAAAAGAGAAAATTAATGTTGTACTAACTTTTAGAGACTACAGAGTTTGCAGTTGAAATGCATGTTGGCTGCTGTATTAACTCTAGCAACTCCAGAGTTACTATAAATTTATGAATAGTGTTTTTCTACAACAGCACAAAACCCTATAGCATGAACACATGTGCTGTATTCTATTGTACTGTATTGTAGTGTATTGTATCAAAATTGTTAAATAAAGGAATTTGTTCCATGTATCTGTTAAGTGTTGTTGACAAGCTACTTCTTGGAGAGACCACAATCAAATTGTTCAATACTTTTTTTTTATTATTTCCATATGAAACAGTGAAGTGTGTCTATTACAACTCTTTCTTTTCCACCCATGAGAGGTGCTGTGGCCTCATGGCTAACTAGTGCACTCAACTCAGGTTTGAGCCCTGGCTGGCTCTTCAGTAAGTGTGCTTTCTCTCAAGACACTTTATTCTGGCATTGCATTTCTTCACCCAGGTGTGTAAACAAGTACTGGTGAATTAAATACAGGGGGTAACTGTGCAATCTGTATTTCCAGAAAATATCTATACCTCCCCGATGGAAGGGATTTTTTTGAAAGACTTCCTCCCCCCCACCCCTCTGGAAATTCCAATTAAGCTTGATACAGTTCTTTAAATGTTTCAGTCTTAAAGACCCCCGCCACCTCCAGGAAATTCCAATCCCTTTTGAATGAATATTTTCTGGAACTGCACAGTGGACCGGCATAGCATTCAGGCAGGAGTAGAAATACTCTTCATCTCGTCACGCTACAGAAACCAGATATGAGCACTGCAAGGATGCATCACTTGGTTCAAAAACAAACTTAGCTTTTACCCTCTTCTGCCCGCTCCCCCGCCCCCAGCCACATAAGAGAGATGTTGAGTGACTTACAAAAGAAACTTACCTTTTTTGCCGCTTATTTTCATTTAATATGAACTTGTCATGTTTGCCGTTTCTATACACTATACACAGATATAACAGTCCCTTCTTCAATTGGCTTTCTACAACAAACAATTCAATTTTTTTGAGTACTGTAAATTCAATTTTGACCAATACCAATAGCCAGAGTAAAAAGGCATTTACCAGCATCAGAGATTAATTTTATTTGCAACCCACGTTACTGAAAACATTTACCTGGTAGCCACACAAGTAAACAAAATAACAACAAACATGTGTTTCCTTGATTCATAACCACTTCTCCCAGTACCTGACAAGTTTTAAGTTTGCAACTATTGTGAACTTTAATATCAACATTACATGTGAGGGCTAACTTGCATGGAAATGGGTCAAAAGGTGTTAAAACATGAATTTGTGATTGCTAACTCAATTCACTCTTGACTGGTGTCTTAACCTAGTTAAACTGGGATATTCAAGAGTTCAGGAGACTGACTCTTTGAAAGGTAGGCAATGTTTACCCTCATGGCTAGTGTACATGTACTCGCAGCTTGTTTGACTGAAGGTAAAAAAATCTTTCCTCCAACTCTTGTTTACTGTATGTTACTCCTAAGACCAGAGCTTCTTCTCTGTGTCCACTAAAAGAGGAAATAGTCTCCCAAGTGAATAGTGTTGCACCTGCAGAAGGCTGAGTTGATCTCTCTATCCATGCTAATGATTACTGCCAAAGTAACGCCACCAATGTCACTGAAACAAAATAGGCTTGTTCTTTCATAAGTTACTAGCTGCTTCAATGAGACCAACCAGGAAGTGGCTCCCCTGCATGTGAAGTAGCTCTAAGTAAAGTACATCTCTTCTATATCCTCTCTGATAACCAAATGGCAGCCTTACAACCTGTCTGTATGACTGTTGACAGTGCATGATACATTGGTGCCTGAAAGGCAAACATCAAACAGGTCTAGTGGCAACCTTCAAATTGGATTTGTAAACTGCATGTGTAACAATATAGCAGGTTTATGTGTTGTGGTCAGCAAGGTAGCAGTGTTTGTATGTGACAGAGTGCTAGCCTACATAGCAGAGGTTTCCTTTTTATTTTCTAGGCGGGAAAAATGAGCAAGCGAGCGAGCAAACAAGCATGCCTGGTTGAGCAAAAAATGGTGGAAGTGACCCAACCCCTCCCACTGCTCCTTTATATTTTTCGCACTCACAATCACTCACAGTTTCATTTCCTTCGCATGCATTTCAAAATGAATGCCTGCTAAGGAGGCTAACCAAGTGGCACAGCCAAGGAGAATTTCTGGCCCAGTACCTGCAAGGGATCATGGTAAAAAGTGAAAGTGAAGAGTTTAATGATGTTAAATTCTGCTTGCTGGATGTTGTGGATTTCAAACTTTTACCATTTGCATCCCAAGAATTTCCAAAATAACTCCTCCACAGTTGAGAATATTTCAAATGTTTCAAAGGCCTCACCTGTTCAGCATCATTCTCTTCTCCAATATGTTGGTGTTCCAGCTCCTCATCACGGAACTGTTTTATTGTCTAGTATTTGGGGAAAGACCACAATGTTCCTTTAGGAAAATTATTTTTCAAATTAAAAAAATATGTGTATACACTGTGTGCTAACCACTTAGCTGAAGACTGCAGAAATATCTGTTCTCAAACTCAGTTAATTAAAAATTCATCATGACAAGTTTATACTAAGGAAAACATGACTGTGACGGTGTTTGGATATCTGATTTTAATCAGGATAGATTTAAACAATATTATATTATTCCTCGATTTTCTCCTTAGGTTTTAGTCTCGATTGATAAGATATATCTAACACTCAAGACTGTGAAGTATATATGAAATAATTCATATTTGAACTGCGGTTGTAGATGAAAGTGAAGAATGATCATCGCAGTAAATTTTCCAATTTAAGCAATTGGA